TAACTATCACAACAAAGGATTACAAGTCATACTTATATATTCTTCACTTTGAGATACAAATGTACAATCTCTCTCCATGTAATATAAATACACAAAACTATTTCCATTTGGTTCCTAGCACCAAATAACATTCCCTTCAACCCTTCCTCCCCAAAAGACTTGATGAAGTTCTTTTTAAACATTTTTTATTATACGTATAAAATTGTATTTTATAACCTGGTTCTTAAACATTGCGTAGAGGGAGTAACAATATATGTAATGAATCATTAAAAACTGAATTAAAAATATACAGCTGATAAAATAGGACATTTAAATAACTTAAGAGAAAGTGCCAAATCAGCTTTGAGGCAAAGGATTTGACAGTTCAGATGTGATCCCAAAGAAGACTGTTTTCCTCTTGCCTCATCAATTGCATTTCGTGGTGGTGCAGTGATTGGAATATAGTATTGCAGGCTAATTCTGCCAACTGCCAGCAGTTCAATCCTGACCACCTTAAGGTTGAGTCAGCCTTCCATCTATCCAAGGTCAGTAAAATGAAGACCCAGACTATTTGGGGGCAATATGCTGATTCTGTAAACTCCTTAGAGAGGGCTGTAAAGCACTGTGAAGCGGGATATAAGTCTAAGTGCTATTGCTACTGCTAGTGCTATTGCTAGGTGTTATATTTCAAAATGGCACGTTAAAAGAAAACCTGATATTACACTGACCATACAGTTATTGTAGAATGTTGACCTTGGTTTAGTGTACAAGTTGAAGTATTTTCCTTAAACAAAATAATGTATTGTTTTGCTGAGGTTGCCCAGCAGAATCACAGCAGCAGAGCCACTGTCCCAAAACCTCAGCCAAATCAAGTCATTGCCTTCAGTGTTGATGGAATGTGGAGAAATTCTGAAGAAGCTGACCTTTTATGAAAACAGAGACTTTTGAAGTTAATGAATCATGAAGCATTTGAAAGTGAGCCTTGTTTATTTACACACGCTTGCTGTTCATGTGGAGCAAATAAGACCCCATTTGGTACACACCACTAATTTGAATGAAAGATCAAACTGAGGCAAGCAAAACCATGTGAGGCAGTTGGAAAGGCAAATGTTCTGTCTCCTGTGGCCTCTGCTTATAAGAATTGGACCAGATTCTGAATCATGTCAAGCATCACTGGAGACAGTTTCTTAGTAATGAAGCCAAACAAGTGAAAATGTGCTTTCGGTCTCAGTGGGAGGTTCTTCTTTGTTTACAAAGTCTTATACAAGACACAGGATAGACCAGACTGTCAGGAAAAGCTCAACATATTGTGAATGAATATCTTCTGGAAAGGATCAATAAAAAGGAGCCATTTTTCTATTAAAGTTGCATTTGTTTGCTGACAGAAAGTGGGATCACCATCACACTGAATGGGCCTCCCCTTCCTTTAGTCTCTATGTAGTTGACTCTAACTTACTCTTCTTCCAAACCCTATAAACTCATTATCTTGATCCTTTTACTTGTACTAGATGTACTTTCAGACATCTACAGAGCTTCCATTTGAATACTGTTGCTATTTGTTTCTATGGAAAAAATAATCCTTGCAATGAACATCATTATTATCATTATCATTGTCATTATCACCATCTTGGCATAAAAAGCCAACCTTCATGGAAATGAATATATGGACAGAATTTATGTGTTCTTGTATGTCTCGAGACATAAGATTGTTATTTTAAAATATACATACTCTGTAAAAGAAGGGAAAACATAGCTTATGAAATGTTCTCCTTATCTCTCAAAACTTTAAGATGGATAAAGTTTGATTCATCCTAAGCTTTCTTAATATTTGTAAAAATAGAAAAATGATTAGTTTTTTTCATACTTATATTCTATAATTTTCTCTGTAGAAGGATATCAGATTAGAATCTTACTGAGTTAACCTAACTTTTGATATATTTTCCTATCATTTCCTACAGCATGGGAATAAATTTAATAATGTATTGCTAATGTTTAAAAAATGAAATGGTAAAATTTTCCTTTTAGGTCATATCCTTTCCCTCTGTTTTTTTAGCCAAAGCAAAACTTAAAGGAACATCATTAAATGTTCTTTAAACCCACTTGGCAATAAAGTATCCTATCCTATCAATCCTGTCTGGAGGAGGAGGAGGAGGAGGAGGAGGAGGAAGAGGAGGAGGAGGAGGAGGAGGAGGAGGAGGAGGAGGAGGAGGAGGAGGAGGACGAGGAGGAGGAGGAGGTGGTTCCACCACTCCTGAAGACATGGCATCTGAGGATGAAAAGGGAAAAGGAAAAAAAGGGTCACATTAACACCAGGCCTAACAGAATGCCCCAAAGTATGTCTGCCATCTCCTGCTGAACTTTTGCTATTAATGATGGCAGACTGAGGGCAGCAGGGAAAAAGTAAGTAGTAGGTAGTAGTAATTTTTATGCCGTTCTTTTGTTTAGTATTTCATATTTTAATATTAAAATGATATGAAAATTTCATTATATGCATAATGATCTCCTGCTACAAATGAGACTACAAATCAAATTTGCAACAAAATAGGCAATGAAGAAGTAATAGAATGGAGTGAAAGGATGGTGACTCAACTCACAGTACTACACTTGAAAATGTTGCTTCTTTTTCCACAATTTTCCAATTCTTGATAAATTGTTCTTGCTGCTTTTTAGAACTCTAGTCTTCTGACCACATATATGCAATAATATATGCTTTACAAATTCCATTATATTTGACAATATAGCTTTCTCGTGATTCTAAGAAATCAGAATTCTTAACTGATATGAGACAAAAGTTCCTTCTTTGAGTGATGCAGCTACTCAGAAATAGCTGAGAGTGATTTCAAATGGCGATCATCTGGGTTTGTTAGGGTGACATTAAGGCTGCAAATCAGAACAGGTTCCAGAGAAGAATATGTTAAACCCAGCTATTCCTCTTTCCTGTTTCATTTAGACTTTTTTTATAAGCAGCACTGTCATTTCTTCTAACATCTACATAGGCAGAACTTTCAACATTGGTGGTCTAAATCAATGATCAATGGTGTAATAATCTAAAGACATCCAGAGGATCGTTGCACATTGTGTTAGCTTCCAAACGAATGTCCAGGCTTTAGTCTATAAATATTAGGCTCTCTCCCATCACCTCCACACCCTTAAATTGTTTTATAAATAAGTTGTTACACAATCACTCAGTTGGATCTCTAACAAAAGCACAAAGTCCAAAAAGATTTTGCTTTCAGGCATAGTAAATTGAAGAAAGTTAAGTGGATTATGTGAAGTGTTGGTTGCTGGTCTCAATTTCTCTGGGTCCAAATAAAGTCATTATTCTACTGTAACTATTGGACTTGGAAGAAGTAGGTTTGGCAAAGGAAGAAGCCACAGATGCCAGAACACTTGCTGATACTGAAGTTTGCAATCCTGAGATATTAATTAGTCATTAAATGTAATGTTACTTAGTGGAACATTAGAGTCTCAAAAATGCTAGAAAAGCACCTGCTTATCTCCCAGAGACTTAGCAAAGTTTGTTGATCAACCCTAAGACTTCAAATGGTAGGCAGAGCAGTTAAGGGAAGTTCTGAAAATAGAAAATAATTTTGTGAAGGAATTAGACAATATTTTGGAAAAAGGTTCTACAAATGTATCTTCTGGCTTATCCTGGATAAGGATATGTCATAAGGATATGTCATGTGCATATCATGACAGGTAAATTCTGTCTTCCCTGCCGTGCAAAGCTCTTTATTGTCATAAATCATAGCCACCACACTCCAGCTTAGGCCATTATTTTATTTATAATATTAATATACCACTTCCTCTTAAAATTTCAAAATGATTTACACTAAAATTCAAACAGATTAAGAAAGAAACATATTCTTTTTAAAAAATCAAACGTTATATAGAGCATACAAGACAAATTGTCAATTAAATAAAAAATGAAAAGGAGGAGGAGCAAGTTAAAATTACAGCAGTGTTAGTCCTGCAAGAATGCAATAGAAAACTAGTGCTGAAAAACTAAAGATGGTGTCTGGCATTACCATCTTGAAAGAGCATTCCAAAGGTAAGAGCTGCCACCAAAAAGCCCTGTTCTCCAATAAACACGTTCACACAGCATATGAAAATAATTTATTGAAATAGGCAGGAAGACAGGAAAGCAGGAAGAGATGCCTGCCTATTGGGGGAGCAGGGGTTTGAATCTAAAATGCCACCTGATGATCTTCAATTTGGTGCTCTGCCAACAGGATGGATATCAATGCAGCCATTAAATTCAGTGGGTGACTTTAGCCCTCCCAGGTTGCTTTGAGTACTTACAGCAAGAGAGGGGAGAGATTTGCAAAGCTCCGAAGCTGTTGGATTCCAAGATTAATCAGTCTCAAACTCCTGTCTTGGGGAAAAAAGTGGAATATAAATATAATAAATAACGGAACCCTGCCACAAGGGGAAAAACAGAACTCTGGAGCTAAATTCACACTACACTAAGCCAAGATTTACTTAAACATGACTTATTGGCTAGATTCACACAACTCCTTAAGCCACAAACCATATATTGGCTTAGCACTTAACGCATCCAATAAAGGGTAAGATCTGGGTGTGGGGTTAGCCCTCATTTGCGCTCGCTCTCTCTGCTTTGGGGCTGAAAGAATGAGCAGCTATAGGAGGCACTAGGACCAGAGGAGGAATAGGATTGTGGGGGAGGCTGCCTGAAGCTGTCTATTGCCAGCAAGGGAGACTTCAGCACCGTCTCTGATCTCTTCTGGCTTTCTTTTTCGGCAGCAGGTGGTGCCTGGGAGGGAAAAGGTGAGAGTGTTCAGCTAGCAAGGGAGGGGAAAACAACCCCCGGTGGAGAAAACGCCAGCGATAGAGAGAGCACCGTCCCAACCCCTTGGCTGGGCTTGATTTCCCCCACCCACCCCCCACTCCACCCACAGCCTTGTCTTTGTGCCTGGGAGTTTTGCCCAATGAGAGTCCAAGGAGGTGTCCATCTCCCCAGCCTGCCCCCAAGCCCACCCCTCCAGTGTGTCCTCCTCATCTTCATTCCCAGCAGATGCCGGTCCTTGGGGCTGCTCCGCAGACGCTCCTGCCAGCCCAGGCGACGGCCGGTCCATCTCAGGAGGCAATCAGCCGGCTAGCCCAGCAAGCGGCCGGTCGCCCTGAGGTTTGCGCTAGTTTGACTTGGCCTCCTTCCGAAGCCATGCCTAACGCAGCAGCCCTGGGAGAAGAGTCGTGACTCCCGCCTTCAGGGATAACCTAAGAGCCGCCTCCGTTTGTTCTTCCCCGCAACCTGCCCCCCTCCCCCTCGCGCACCACAATTGGAGGTCCAGGAATCCGTCTTCTTCTCTTTGCGATCTGGGGCTTGTTCTTTCCTTCTCCGCTTCCCGCGAAAGAGAATTATGCTTGGCTCAAACCGTCTGGCAAGCTCCGCTAGGATTGCCAGCGCTCCCGAAGGCACCAGACGAGCGTCCCAGGGCAGGCCAGTCCGCTCCCGCCTCGCTTTGCCTTTGCTGCTGACTCTGTTGATTCTCACGCCGCGGGTGGACTCATCGTGGTGGTAAGTCCTCGAGGGGGGGGGAAAGCGGGAGCGGGAAGGGACGTCTGCCCGGAAACTTTCTCTCGCATCTGGCTAGAAAGTGAGATGCGGCAGCTGACTGGTGGTGCTCAAGTGGGCTCAGATCCAGGGTGTTTTTGAGATGTCACAGCTGGTGATGTGTGTTTTTTTTTTTAAAGGGGGTGCGCCTGATCATATGCAGAGCGCCTGTATTCTGGGATGGATTAGGAAGATGGGGAGAGTCCTCAATTACTCCAGATCTATCTGTGGGGCTGTGAGCTCCGGAGACCTGACTCCTTAAGAGGCAGGAGGTTCCTCTCCCAGGCACAGCTGGTGATGGGTCTTGGCAGCTTCCAAAGTCCACGGGAGATGCGTGGACAAGAAGAAGCACGCGCTTCTTTTCCGAAATGCTTCGATCCGAGAGAAGCTGTCTATAAAAAACCGGGAGAAGCTCGGCGCAGAAAGCTTGGCTGAGAATTAGGAAATGGACCACCAGACCAGAGATCTCGGGAAAGGGGATGCGGGCGGAGGGCTGTCAAACGGTTCAGGCTTAGAAACAGCATGGAGTCGTCGTGCCTCCCGGACAGGGGCTGCGGTCCCTTCCTCTCCCAGCACCTGAGCTGGGGTTGAGGATTCGCGCAATGCTCTGAAGCAGAAATTAACCAAAAGGATCGGCTTCGGAGGACTCATTAAACACACAAGACCTAAACTCGGTTAAAACATGCTACAAGTTCGTCGTGTTCGGCCCACAAAAGCGTTGGGACTCCACAGTAGTCGGCGATTGTCATCAGGATAGCGGGATCCTGCAGTCCCTTCTCTTCTGGGTCGGCTCCCGCGCTCCAAAGCCTCCGCTTGACAGCAAAAGCCCCGGCCAGCGCCTGAGCGATGGAGCCCCGCAAAACGCCCGCGTGGCTCCTCCTCACCTGTGAAAAAGGCCTGAAGGCCCCGAACAGGTTTCAACCTGTAGCAGGACGCCGAGTAGGCAGCATCTGTAGTAACCCCGAAAGAAATCCTTTTTACTCTCGTCGGATCGCATCTCAGGCTTTCCTTACAAAAGAACATTCCTCTTACGTTCCCTCGAGAAGGATCCCGGGGGGGAAAAAACAACCCCATTCCTTCATCCGAGAATCAATTGCTAGCCTGTCAATGGCCCTCGTCCGCCACTTTTCCTTAGAGCCACCTGCCTCGCTCCCACCCAGAGAACGAGAGAGAGAGAGGAAGGGGGGAAAAAAACACGAGTGGCTTCCAGGTCACGCTAAACCGGGAAAAGGTGGTTTGCTTCAGTGTTTCTCAACCTTGGCAACTTTGAAGATGTGCGGACTTCAACTCCCAGAATTCCCCAGCCAGCAACTGCTGGCTGCGGAATTCTGGGAGTTGAAGTCCACACATCTTCAAAGTTGCCAAGTTGAGAAACACTGGCTTACTTGGTTTGCGGCGCGTGTCCATTCCTGGTTTAGCGCGGACGTATGAAACACAACCACGGAAAGTCGCACTGGCCGTCCGGTTAACCGAATCCTGCTTTACCCAGGGCTCTGGATGCACTCCACACCCTGAACCATAATCGAAGTCAGGGCCTCTCCGTCAATAAAACGTTTGGCTTTAAAAATAAAAATAAAAATGCGGTTGCCCAGCTGAGGGCGAAGACTTTTCGCGGGAAAACCCACCGGGGGAACAGGCCAAGAGGGCGCAAGCGCGGGACGAAAGGAGCGCAATTGACAGCACTTGTCTATCGAGGCCGCCGAGCTGAGCTGAGCTGAGCTGAGCTGAGGCGGGCGAACGTGGCTCTCTCTGGCATTTTCCGTCCTGAGGCGGTTCTGCTTTCGAACTTTCTTCCTGCTATCCCAGCCTGCGCTGACCTGTGGTGGTGGAGGAGGACGGGGATTTATAGCACACCTGGGCTCTTCCGAGGGAGCGATTCTGCCCTTAGGTATATTCCCTCTCCCGCGTTGAGGGAAGGGCGGGCTCTATCCGTCGCTCCCGAAACTCCGTTTTTCCTCAGCCCTCCTGGTCTGACCTTACAGGCCAGGCGGCTTCGGGTGATACCCAGGGCCGCCTACGACGGAGAGGGCATCCTCTTTCGAAGGGGCAGAAGAGGCGCTCCAGGCAACAGTAACAAGAGTTGGAAGGGACCTTGGAGGTCATCTAGTCCAACCTCCTGCTCACGCAGGAGACCCGTACTAGGGATTCGAACCGCCGACCTTTCTGATTGACAAGCTCAGTGCCTTAGCCACTGAGTCACCTAGTCAGAGGCCTCTCTCTGCCCAACTCGCGGTGCTGCCCGAATGCCACACCTGGGCCCGTCACGGGTTGTTGGCGGCAGAAAAGAGCGCTTCGGGGCAGAATCGCTTCCTCCGAAAAGTCTTGTGATTGGTTCCTCTGGAGGCTGAGCGGGCGCTCCGTCTCAACCTGCCGCGGCTGTCAGTCTGCCTCTCACCCGGCCTTCTGCTGCTGCTGCTGCCTGCATGAGAGACGCGGGAGTTGCCTTCGCTGAGGGAGTGAATCGGCAATTAAGCTTAGAGGACTCTGGCAGAAGCGGGAACTTGTATGCAGGACGGGCTCTGCTCCCAGGACTAGCTGAGAGCTTCTCTTCTCCCTTCCACCCCACTCAGGCCTTAGCCTGGAATCACCTGTGCAGCGCTCAGCAGCGCTCTTCTGCATCCATTCCTAAGGCCTCTTACGCTGACATCGTTCATTCTCTACATCAGAGGTCTTCAAACTTGGCAGCTTTAAGGCTTGTGGAGCTCAACTCCCAGAATTCTCCAGCCAGCAAGCTGCCAAGTTTGAAGACTTCTGCTCTATATGGTCAGACGGGCTGAACCTTCACGTTCCTTTGTCCCTAGTGAGGAGGCTTTAAGAAAGAAAGAAAAAAAAGTTCACATTTCACAGTTCACATTCGGCTAATATTTCAATGTGCTGTAATTTTGGCTGCTTAGTTTAGATAACTGTACAGTACATTCAAATGTGCAGCCATTTATCTGCAAGTCAGCTGTAAATAAATAAAGCTCTGAGAAACGTACTAGACATTATAACCGCAACTGTCAAAATGTTAGGCTTAGTTATCCTGAACAGGTAAAAGATTTGGGGTGGGGGAGAGATGGAAAATGATTCTTCTTTTTGTCTTGAAAGTGTCTTGCCAAATATCAGATATAGAAGGCAAAGAAGACCTCTGTTTGCTTCCTTGGGACAGCAGCATTTAGCACATAGTTAGCAAGAATTGAAAGTGGGAGTTTAAGTTTTTAAAGCTTAAGATGGGAGCTTATTCCAACAGTATTGTAAATGACAACTTGAACTACTATAGATGTTGAGCTGCCGTTGACTGCATAGATGGATAGGTGTACAATAATGCCTCCCAAAGGGAGAAGGAAATCCTATGATGGCTTAGTTTAGGGCATGGTAGAAAATTGAATGTCATTATTTTATTGCTCTTCGTATCATATGAACACCAAAATCATAAGTAAATGATGCTTAAGTCAACCATGAAAAAGTGAGTCATACCTATTCAGTTCCTGTGTTTCATTGTTTTCTCTCTCAAAAGTATGTTTACTCTGATTTATTCCCAAGTAAATATTGCAGTTTAATCTCATTGCATGCAATGGTATATCTTCCCAAGTAAATTGGATCAGAGTACATAAAGAGTTTTTTTTTTTCCTTTTCAATTTCCATCTTTACTGAGGAGGGGAAGCACTTTGCTTGCATACAAGCTTTTAATGTTAGAAATCCATTCCTAATCAAATCCATTTATGTGTGCTTAGTCGTTGCTTGCATTCTGAAAAGCAGATGATGTTAAGTCAGAGAATCTGAAGAAGTTCATTTTTATCATTTAGTCATGGGTCTGGAGAAAAGGAGAGGACAGGATCTAACTTAGAGTAGTGATTCCAAATTCCTTCCCTATATATAGCAAGGGGGAGGGCAAGAGTCAAACTGTAGTGCCTTAAGTATTATTTTATTAGATGATGACATGTTTATCTTGTATTTATAAATCCTTGTATTGTAAAGTCTTCACAGAGCAAAAAAGGTTGCATCCTTCTGCCATGTTGAAATCTAGGGAATTTGCTTCTACAGTTTTGTGCTTAAACTTTATTCAGCAGGCCCAAAGAGGCAGTATCACTAACATCACAGTACCAACAGTAGGTAGAATATAGTTTCATTTGATTTGCCAAAGTTTTGACAGAAATGATGCTTGACCTTCTCTATTTCTGCCTAGAGAAAATGCTAAACCTTTTCTTCCAGCACCTTTGTGAAACCAAATCCTAGTGCATGCTACATCAATTTTGGTTCTCATTAAAAGAAAATATCTACTACATGTTTCTAAACAGCAAACAATTGTTTGAATTTTCAATTATATCAGGGATAGCATGGATTGCTTCACAAACTCTGTATGAATTGTAGGACTTCTACAGCATGGTTATTTTTATATAGACCGTGTGTGTGCATGTATACCCTAATAATTCTAAATGAATGTAATGTAATGTTTAAAAACTGTATGTCAGTTTTTTAAAATGTGTGGCAGATAAATTCTATGGGTTAGTTGCAAAAGACTTAGCTGGGAAATGCTATCTTGTTATATACTACTTTATATTTTGAAATGGTTATGCAAACAGAAAGAGAATGGTGGCTTATAGAAAGTACTTTAGAATACATTAAAAACTAATTAATAAAAATTATAGTCTTAAAATAGAATCTCTTTCTGGCATTTTCTTCTGGTGGAAAACAAAAATGCAGGGTTAATTGAACAATTTCATTGAATTTAGTATGAATCCTGTGTAAGTTGAGAAAAGATTGCAGCCTTAGCAGCTAGATGCTGAAGGTAAGCCTTAGTTATTAAATACCAGAATGATTGGTTAAGGAGAATTGAGGTACAAAATTTGCATCCTTTTCACAGTGATCATATAGATTGATTGTTGTGTCAAGATTTACCATGTGCCTAGATGTGTACCATGTATAAAATCTCTTGGTATTATTTCAAAGTTTACCTTCATCAGTTTGTACTAGATGCTATTGAG